CTTACACTATCTATACTGAAAGAATTAATATGCTAAAACAGAGTAGGAGGGATCCGTGAGATTGGCCAGGGTCCCCTCCATCCCCATTTGGCCTAGTCCTTGGGAAGGGGACATGTGCTAACAGGGGCAATATTTTGTTATAAATAATGCTATTGACTTGGAAATCTAACGTAAAACCAATCATGCTGTAGTGAGTCTTTACGTGGACTTAGGGGTGACAGTGGCAAAGATAGCATCCCCTACAATAAGCAAATCAATGGCGTTTCATGCACCGACAGAAAACTCAGGAAATTGATTTCACACTCTAACGTCCACCGATTCCGGCAAAATTGTGACTCTTCCAGTTAAAAATCAGTGAAACTCAGGAAGTTTGAAATCTCCGCCGTTTAAATAATGTTACAAGTTTAAATCGACCGTGGCATAAAGTGCCTCAGAACAACAGAATTTCACAATTGTTGTTGGTGTTGAAAGGAGTAATGGGTGCAACTAACGAGTTAAATCTTTTATTGTTTTGAGACAGCAGTTAAATTTCACTCAGGAAAGACATTAGAGGTCCAATGACCCAAACTTAAAGTCCTCACTCACATATACGCGACTCGCCTCTCATCGCCTTTTTGACGACCATTCAGAAGATTGTGCAGCCAAACAGAGTTCTGGCTTGGCTACGGATAGCATTAACCGTGGCACAGTCACGAAAAATTTCTGGACAGCGAACGAGCCCCAAAGATTGAAGCGACAATGTCTTATCTATATAAGCCTCGTAATTAGACCTAAACGCCTTGGGAGGGCGTACTGTGTGATTTTTAGGGGATGAAATTAATTCATACGGTGACTGACAGGTCATGGAAAAGGAAACGATGCCTCAGTTCAACCGCATAAAGCATGCAATATCAAACAACGACAAGTATGACAACAGAGACGCTGCATTAGAACAAATAAGTTGTGAAAGTGAAGTCTGCGCATTATCGAAATCTACCTGAAGTTGCATAGATACTCATTTGCAGGATGTTGCAGTGTAGTCCTGTCGAAGTGGCACTACGTACACGAAGAGTTTGCTTACTCGAGTGCAGCATCATGTGCGACTTCTACTTCTCTTGTGGAAGTGTGCTGAGCAATTAGGAAAGCATTGTTATATTTTGATCGTTGGCCTCTTTAGCAGACAACAGTGTTAACCAACTATGTTTGCCTCTCTTTCTAGGAGTTCACTGAAATGCGTTATATACGGAAGCGTAGTGGCTGGTTTCGGGCTGAAGGGCATTTCGAAGGAGGCAGGCCTGTTCACAATCCGAGTGCCGGGAGGTTTGATGAACAACTTCATTGGTTGAGGTCGAGTGAACTTAAGTCACTTTAGTAAGAGAACAAGGCTTTCCAATATATATACGAAAATTGCAATCAAATCAATTTTAACGGTAGTAAATTTGAAAATTTAAAGTCGTGGTTATCTGAAAGGCAGGCGCAAACGGTCGCCACCTGCTATATCGCGATTATATGCACAGTAATTTCTCAGCAAATAAGCGTCCAGGTCGCATTCGAATGTCCCATTAATTTTTCAAAGAACCATCGCGTCAGAAAGTCCGTTCTCCGCTTTAACTACGCTCTGCAGTAAGGTGTTCCGTCGGACGACCGAGTGGACTAGCTTCCTCTGTAGTTTAAAGGGATGACCACATGGGTGGTCCACCCCAGTGAATTCTAAGAAGTCATCAACTTCCAGGGCCCGCGCACGGCCTCTGGCAATCCGGCAAGTCTAATTGATGTTTCTGGGCGCTTTCCTGCAAATGGGGGAAACAAATTAAGTGCTGCCAAGTATGGCTTCCTTAGGCAGATAACTAAGATATGTGACTATCCTTATAGTACCTGGTTGCGCTCTTTCCAGCTGTTTTAATCCTTCCTAAACCACGGACTCGAGCCCTGAACAGCATACCCGAAGTGAGATCGAGCGAATGACCATGACTGCGACAAGGGGGGGGGGCAGTTGTTATGTCATATTTCGTTTTCCCACGCGGAGGAACAAAAAGATTTCTGATGCCAAAAACTTCATATTATTGTAAATGACAAAAGAGGGTTCTTTATTTCTCCATTGACATTTAAGTCAGTCTTTCTACTTCTCCATTTCCAAAACTTTATGAATTTGCCCTGAGCATGCCACACAGACCATGCCTTCGTGGTTGACATTCATCCAACTTATTAAATCCCTTACCCGTCTGATGGGATGCGATTTGATTGCAGAATATCCAGAACTGCAGTCAATTTCACTGCGACTTATGTTTATTCATTCGTTTATTTCAGCCCGCTCCCCGAGCGCCGATAACCGTTTGGCTACCTTGCTGACAGAAGCAAACAGGCAAGTTCCGGGAAACATTTCAGAAGAGGTAGATGCAACTACTGAAACAAGAAGTCTGATAGCCTGACGTCTGGTATTATCACTCATGATTTACTAGTGTTGGTCTGTAAGTTAAAGTCCTAAGGAAAACGACAAAATACGACGCAAGTACTGAGCACTAACATCAACTATCTAGTTGTGTAAACTTTCGTTTGTGTAAGAATGCTACACCGGCGCTCCGAGACGCATTGCAGTGAGACGTAAAACGTCACTGACCTACACTATATTATTCGGGCGCGTAGAGCAAATAGTTTACCACTCCATGCATAAACGCTAAGAGGAGCAAATTTAAACAGGTCTCAAATTTTGATGAGCGTTATCAAGTTGGAAAAGCACATCGAAAGCCGTCGCCGCCTCCTAAACTACTCGGACTTGAAGTTGAACACAGACCGAAGGCAACCATCTAGCTTCAGGTTATGAGACCGTAAGATCCATTACCATGGCAAGAAGGGTCGGTAGTCGTTTACCGGATGTGGTGCAGTCGCGGACAAGGCAGATACGTCGGAGAAACTGGGAAAATAGTCCGAATATAAATGGCCGAATATGCAGCAGCAGTGAGGTGGAGTGATACTAAATCCTAGATCGTGGCTAGTTTTACGGGACCCGATCACACACTGAGGTTCGATGGAGTCAAAATCGTAGCAAGAGGTGACCACCGCTTGAGCCATAAGCTGCTTAAGTTGCGACTCGCTGGCTTACATTCGACCAAAAAGCGCAATGACCTTCCGCTTTCATATGCTTTGCTGAAATTTCGCCTAGGTAGAATTACCACCCACGCGATTAGAGTGCGGCTGATCAGTAGCCACGATAACAGCTAGACAAACTGGCGAGTCAATTTTACGCTATGAATCAAAACGACCATGAAATAATAATAATAAAATGACTCGATTACGGACTGGCGAATAATTATCGCATCAACCATGACCCGAGTCGTTCTTGAAAACTTGGTTCTAGCAACTGACTCTTTGGTTGTCTCTAAATCGCCTTCATGCCTTGAAATTCTGTGTTGAAGAGAAGTCAAGCGTAAGGTTCACCGACTTTAAGTTAAAGAATTTACGTGCACCCATGACTCCAAATTTAGCCAAGTCAACATCCAGGACATTTAAGTCCGTGGCAAATAGAACCTCATTGCGACTGGCCACTTCCTTGACTGATTGGAGAGACGAACGGTCAGTCGTCCTCACCTGGTTTAATAGTGAACCAAGCGACAGAATTTTTCTATTTTGTAAATTAATCGTCCTCGTCCTTGTCAAGACGGATTCACTTTCGGGCACCGAATATTAACTAATTTAGCCGAAAAAATTACCGACGTGAAGCATACGACTACCCTACACTCATGTCTACTCTAAGGGTCTTCGCGAAAGAGACAGCATCCCTGTATTATAATCTAGACATCCAGGATTTTGATTCTTGCGAAGTTCCTCTTATGGCAATGATGTCGGGGTTTCTCTTTAAAACTAGCAACTTGAGCGTTGAGTTGCGATCGATGTGATCTAAATAATCCCACCTTGCAATGTGACGATTTATTACTAATAACTCTGTCTTGGACTCTCATACAACAAATTGGCCCGAATGTAGTAAACTTCCTTGCTCAGTAGACAAGAACAGAGTGCCTGGATGGTTCGATGGCCTAGTCAGTTTTGATAATTCACTTTAAAACTTTTCGCTGTAAATACATAAATTATCATTTCTCTGAAGGCGACATTAAGTCATACTTAAAAGACATGAAATACATTTCTGGAAAAACTTAAAATGATTTGTTTTAATGGGCTCCTTAAAGGGCACTTATGTGATGTCGAAGTTGCGAATCCTGACTTTGGTGTAACCATTGCCTAACACGCTAGACTTCTTCAAATTTGTGTAATCACACCTCGTTCTCATCTAAATTTTGGTTTATTATACGTATTTGACTTTTATTTGTTCGGCGAATAAGTATATCTGTCAGCCGACTAACGCTTTTCGTTCCTAAGTGGCTGTTCAAAGCACTTGTACATGTACCAATGCTTTGAACAGCCACGTTGAAAACAAAAGCGCTAGTCGACGGTCCCTACACATAGCTTACCTGCCAACACTGCCGAAGTCCTCCGGTTCATACTATTCGTACAATGGTTGGTCCCGCAATAAATATAACGCGCTTCTCTTATATTGATGACCTAGTTAACCCTAGTAGCAAACTATATCGAGACGATATCTATTAGATATCTATTTTTCGAGATACCTATATCGACTATATATCGATTTTGTCCGCGGTCTAGATATCGAGTCGATATCTATTTTTCGAGATACTCCCGAAATCGGCGATAGGGACACGTTAGGTCATGCGCATGCAGCGGTTACTTGTTCCTATACCCATATCTAATTTTATTATTGTCTGTTCGCCTTAGTCATGCCCATCCCGGCTTACCTTGCCTGCTCTTGTCCACTTTGCAGCCCTTTTAACGGGCTAATTTTCGTTGATATTGCAACCGATGCAACTATGCCCACCAAAATGAACTATTTTGAAGACTTGTAAGTAGGGAAAAAGTTTATTTGATAAAAAATAATATAAAATTGGTTTAATACATAGGTGAGTCATTTTTGACTGATGATGGCTCACTCTTGGAGCAAGTTGGATTGTTTTCTAGAGGGTAGGAATTATATTAAAAAATGAAATGTATTCACCAGTCCAGCTCTTGTTCGCGCTTTCTCTATGCTGCCGCTGCACACAATTATCGAGCGACCTTTTGAGTCTTTTGGTAAAGGCACTCTCAAGATCGGATAGAGTGAGAGCGGAATTTTTGTTCCAACTCGCGAAGACGTCTAAGAATGTAGATAGAGGAAGTTTAATTGCAAACATACCTAGAACCACCTTGTAAACTGCAGAAGTGGACAGACTTTCTTTCAACTTTCTGCCCTTGAAGTTGACGTGTAGGGCTATTTCGTCCTCAAATAGCGCAAAGAATATGCGCTTAACAAAGTCATCCAGGCTATTACCGCCTAGACAGGTGAGGAAGGACACCTAATTTTTTGTGTAGGTAATAAACGGACAGCCTACAAGTTCGTTTCTTATTGCATTGTCCTCCATTAGTGCATTCAGGTTGCGGAAGTCCGCTGCCGTCCGCATAGGCCGCTTTATGGGGTTTTGGGGTAGCGGTGCAGCCGCCGGCGCTGGTGACCTTTGAAGCACCTTTGCCTCTAACTCCCGCAAACGGCCGTGCAAGCGGCGGTTACTGTCAAGGATCACGTCCATCTTTTTGGACAGCCTTGCACTGTGCTGAAGGAGTAGGACCAAGGCCTTTTCCAAATTTGCCATTCTGTCATTAGGCACAGGTTCCTGCCACTCTGTGAGAAAGGTCAAAAGAAAGAATTTTTATTACCCTCGACCCGCATTTGCTCCCTTGAGGGAAGGGTGTCATCGGAGTCGTCCATCTCAATATGGCTCTCGTTTAGTTCCTAGAAATCAGAACTGCGTAAAGTCATAAGACTTACAGGTGACGATATGCCTTCTCCATTAAAGTAGTAGAGGGCCTCTTCCAGTGCTGACCTACGTTCACGTGGTGGATTACGGCGAGTCGGCTGGCTCATGGTAATGTCTACAAACGCACAGGGAACAATTAAGTGACCAGTATTTGTGACACTAGTAATCTTATAACTAGAACCACTTCGCCCCTGCAGTGCTTGTAAACCTCTCACTATGTTTACTGTGCGTTTGTAGGGCTACGAGCACTGTTCGCGAGAGCAAGAGGACAGTAAGTGGTAATTAAGAGCGGCCTACAGATACCTATCTGTAGGCCTAGGTCTTAGTATCTCATTAAATCAGTTCTATTAAAACATAATTAGTATTTTGCGGGAAGCAGATATACTTAGTGAACTTATTCGGCAACGGTGCACAGCTGATAGTGCTCTCAAGCTCAGCCGTGAAGACCTTTAGCAGGGACGACTGTTGTGGATAATCAAAATAATGCGAAATGTTTACGAATTCACTGAATACTATTCGCAGGCAACTTTGTCGGTCACGCAGTACGTTCTTTACACAAACGATCTTACCACCGATGCCAATGCAGTGGTTGGTGGGTGTGATGTCAATCCTAAAGCTGTCCGTGAGCACACATTTATATTGCTCACAGTCTTCGAAACCAACAGGAACTACTCCTAGATTATGACCGTGAAGTAATTTTGGGGACTGCAGTGTACGTTGCCCGTATGCAGTTACCTCAACCTCGCTGAGTCGCCGTGCTATCTGCTGCAGTGGTCGTGACGGACTTCTGAGTAAGCCCTTTAATCTACCTAGGTAACTTTCAAAGGGGAAAGTTGAGAAGGAGTCTAGGACCCCATGACGCTCAACCTCCTCGGCAATGTGCATTATGCTGTGCACATTGTACACCATTTGTTCAACACCAAATAAGTCTAAAAACTTTTTGGTGAATAACTTCAACAATTGCTTACAATACCCAATATTGCTATTACAAGAAATTGGGTTAGACAGCAAACGTAGAGCAGTAAACAAAAGCAAAAAAAGCTTGAAGTGCTTATGCGGCAGAACGTCTGACAGAACAAGAACACCGGAATATAATACAAACTGCCTGAACTCCGTTGCTTTCCAGGATTCAAAATCACTTATTGATCTGCTCCGCTGCGAAAATTCTGCCGGTAGGTATGCATTTATTCTGCGAAGTCTATTGTCTATAGTTTCAACTTCCTCAGCTTTCAATATCGAAGGCTGGAAACGACCACTGGCTTTAGAACGATAATTCTTAACCCACAAACTTAGCAGCTTTTTCACTACACCCAAGTATATTAGGTGTAGAGGATCTAGGGGAAAATTGGAAATAAGTCCTAAGTTACAGGACAAAAATGGCGATGTCCCATCTACGTGTTCATCGTCCGTCGGCTGCAAGAAGTCTTCATCTTTCCTGTATCTTTCTCCTTCCTCGGGGTAGACCACTTTTCCCATATACTCTCCTACCACTGTACAACGTTCGCACCCGTAGTAGGCATTCACGTTCTTAATCTGCTTTACAAAAGCCCTGGCTGGTGCATCACAGATAACGGCTGTTATCTGAACGTGAGCCGGATGGCTCATTTCGTCGACTTGTAGTCCTGTCTCCTGAAGATACTTAATCTCATTAACCAGTGACCGGCAGTACAAGTGCACATCAGACGGCTTACCGCCACCACAGTAGATGGCAACCGGGAAGACATTACTTATAAATGGACGGACTACTCTGCCTAGTATGGGCCATATTTCAGTCTTCGTCTTCTTATAAATTGGGACGCCGTCTATAGCTAACTGAACGTGCACATCATCAGCTACGGAATGAGAATACCCTCGCAAGCGTAGAAGTTTGCTAAGCTGCCTTTCAAGTCCTATGTGCATGCGTCAAAATGGCCTTGTTTTCATGGAATATGTAAAATTTGCAACGATGAGTTTGAGAATTGTACCATCTATTTTCACTTGGTAAGTCTTGTGCCGTGAAACTAGAATTATTAGCTCATGTCCTGCTTGCATTCGTGGGTAGTTTGTGATTTAGACGGTTTTTCAGCGAGTGAACGCAAGAAGCCACAACTACATCCAAGTTATATTTTCACTGTATCTTTTGAGGCGGATCTAGGAGTCGCTGTGTGAATGTCAGCTACTTAGTTTTCGTGCTCGAACTTGCACCGTAACTCGTAACGACGCCAGTAGAAATGTTCAACGCTTGCTCAAAGGACCGGCCTGGGGGGGCAATACCGTTTTTCTTCTTGTGTCGTTCGGGGGATCCGCGTCAAGTCGCCCACTTCTTGGGTGGAAGGGTTGAGTTTTTGAAGCGTTTTACGTTTGATACATGACAGGATGGACGAATTAGGCCGTGTTCTCTCCAATTTAAGGCATCTGTATTATCAAGAACGTAGTCGGTAAAATAGGCAGGTGGCGCTCGGCTGGACAGATAATCTAAAACTCCTTTCGGATTTTTAGAAACGCTTCCAAATGAGTGCTTTCTTGAATGCACTTGCAGCTCCAAAGTAGAAATCATTAAGCTGACGTAAGGATCTATAATGAGCTAGACATCAGAAGAGAGCTTTCGAGTAATTTTGATGACAAATGTACCTCTCAAGCTCAACTTTAACAGTTCCGGAGTCAACCTCCATGCGCAAGACCTTTATGCCCTACTCTTTTTAATTGCTTAGTCAAAGTCTGGGTTTAGAGTGAGGAACTGGGATTTCTGCGAGTCAACCGTGAGATCCCACCTATCTCGGCTAAAAGTAATGCTTAATATGTTTAAATTATCCTTTATGGAGTACGCAGAGTGATGGACGCTCTGAGCGCAGGATTTCGTCTTCGTCTTGCAGCTTACCTAAAGAAGGCAGCACTAAATGGATATCCCGGAAGTCCCCAATCCGCGAGTCAGTTACGAGAATTGTCTGGTATATCCGACGGTGCGCTGTTGCCGGAAGTTGGTCTTGAACTGGCACGCTTAGCCGAGCCGTACACCCTCATCCGGCCCACTAGGCGCTACGCACAAGGCTCGAATCGATTCAAACAGGGTCAGTAAGACAGACGAACGAAATCACACGGAGTCGATAGCTGACAACCACGGAAAAGAGGGGAGGAATCGACGGAGGTCACATGGCCAGTGTGGAACGCTGCGTCGCCGACGCACACGCGAGGTCGAGGACAACTCACACGAGCAACAACGACTGGTCAGTCTACTGACTGACAAGAATGCTAAGTTGGTGCAACTACGACAGCCGCGAAGGAGACAAAGGTCACGCGAGCATCCCGCTATTGATCTCGAAGAAATCCAAATGAATCAACAGCAAACAGGCAGGTGGAAGTTCGTATGTCGAGCTCCGTTATAATATGCGGCAGGGGAAAGACCCCATAACTGAAGATTTGCAGGAACATCAAGCAAAGTACCCTGATGTTAGAAACGAGGAAGTTTCTAATTCGTCAGTACGAATGAAATCTAGTCCATGAACTCACTCTCTCTTCTTCAGTGGATGATGAACGCAGTAAGATATCCAGACCACTCTATTGCCAGCTGAGTAGACCAGAAACGATATTCTCATCCGGCCGTTGGCGTTTGACGATTTTTATGATCCCATCACTATATCCGAATAATCATCGTGATCCTCACCTATCGGACGGCCAGTCGGTCCTGTCTTTCTTTGCGGTCGTAAGCGCTAAGCTGTGCGTATCGAAATTGAAGAGAAGCGGGTGATTTTTGACAACCACCATTGGAGAATGATCCTTCGAATTAGGTACACTGACTTTGTCACTAGTTAGACGCGACGCGTGCTGCGTTTTCGCGAACATACCTCGGGCAATTCAATAAAGATAGTTTGGGTCGCCTTGCTGAATTTCCGAGGAAATTAATGCGCGAACTTGGAGTAACTCTTTCGAAACAGGCCTTTTCAGGCACGGTCCGAAATTTGATATGAATATTTGAGCTGAAATCCATCAGCTACTGCGGAATAACCGCTTAATATTCACAAACCGCCAACAGGCAGCCAGTAGTATAGCATTGTGCAATAATTTACCGTATTAACAACACAGGTATTAGCTAAAAGCCCAGACACGCGTGTTTTGCCGATCTTGTGCCGCTGCCTGACGCAGCTGCGAGGGGTTTGGCTCGTCAGGCAGCGGCACAAGATCGGCGAAACACGCGTGTCTGGGCTTTTAGCTAATACCTGTGTTGTTAATACGGTAAATTATTGCACAATGCTATACTACTGGCTGCCTGTTGGCGGTTTGTGAATATTAAGCGGTTATTCCGCAGTAGCTGATGGATTTCAGCTCAAATATTCATATCAAATTTCGGACCGTGCCTGAAAAGGCCTGTTTCGAAAGAGTTACTCCAAGTTCGCGCATTAATTTCCTCGGAAATTAAGCAAGGCAAGTTGAAACTGGGGAAAGCTGGGGGACCCACTGACGAGCCGAACCCCTCGCAGCTGCGTCAGGCAGAGGCACAAGATCGGCGAAACACGCGTGTCTGGGCTTTTAGCTAATACCTGTGTTGTTAGTACGGTAAATTATTGCACAATAGTTTGGGTCGTTTGGCACGCAGTTCCTCTCCCGCTCATAATCACAGTGCTGCCACCCATCCGGGTAGGACGCCGGTCGAATTCTCCGGATTCATCCTACCTGATCACTATTCGTGGAGATGCAGTGTCTACCAGCATCCCTTAAGGTCGAAAAAGGACTGGAGGCCGCTACTGCGTCCACTTTCACCAACCGTCTTGGCTTACTCATGCTACTGAAGCCTCGTGAAAACGAGGAATGGGCGTGGGGGTGCGGTTGGTCCCGCGCGAGTCGCAACGGCGTGACTCCCTCGCTCCTGGCGGACGTGCTGCGATGCCTTTGCATAGAGGATTAGTCAGCTCTGAACAATTCCCACGGGTCCTGACAGCGGTCACGCGTCCTAGACCGTTGAAGACGTGGCCATGCTTACGGGTCAAAATAAAATCTACTTGAGACCACCATACATGCCAATGGAAGTTGGAGCAAGTTTCAGCAAGCAGTCCGGAATAGGAAGATGCGATCTTTAGAAAGAAAAATGTATTGGCCTGACGTTCCAGATCCTCACTCGGGCCGTCAAGGTTGATTAAGGCACAAAGAGTGCAATGTTCATAGCTCGCAGTTGTCACGCCACCACGCGCCGACTCTAATTAGCAGCCCTAGCTTTCATCGCCGGGGCTCCTAGATGATGCGATGATTACGTGTTAGTCCCCATATCGGTCGTTAATTGCCGTAATTTTGTCACCGCTGTCGATTTTTCGCGTGATAGTTACTGAGCCCTGACGAAGTTTCAGCATAGAATGAGGGCAGGAGGCCATCGCACTTTTTGATTGACTGCGGCTCGTAGAACTATGACTCAAGCAGCCCGCGGCTCGCGATTGTCACTTCTTGCGAGAATTTCGGCCTCGTCAAACATGAAGATGTAACTGAGTCCGGTCGAATGAGCCGCAACACGAAAGCTATCGTCCTTTCCCATTACTACTGCTTCAAGTTCCGCCACTTATACATAGGCTAACTAAACTCAAATGGGTCGAATTAGGTCTTGTGCCGTCAATTGCGTCGGCATCTCTATCCCTGAAGGGACGCCCACCACAGGTTCCTGGGGATTAACTCATTTTCTGACTATCAGATCATCTCACAAAGCCTCTTTCTGAGTGAGCATCGCATGAGTCCTTCTGTGGTGGTGCACGATACTACAGACGGTTGTGATTTGTCCCGCTTTTCTTTTGCGTCAGTGGTATTGAATTTTAAATCCTTGGGAATCTTCTGCTCAGCCTACCCAAACAACAGATGCAATCCTCGTCCATCGTCTTTTCCTTGGTTTTTCTTCATACGTAGGACGATTTTTTCACTTGTAGAACTATGTGTTTTGAATTTTCATCGCATTATTTTCATCTCCGCTTTCTGAACAAATTATAGTTTCTGTGTCTTTCCTTCCTTGTTCGTGCTATAAAGTGATAAGAAGCAGTATTAGTGCATTAGTGTTGATAAATCTGATGTGCACGCTTGAACACTGCTCGGAGAAAGGTCAAGGCAATATAAACTGCAGGTGGCATGCGAGAACGTCAAAGAGGATTCGGGATTTTTTCTGGAATTTTGGGAACTTTGGTGGCATAAGTGAAGTTTTTTGGGTTTATCTTGCTTCAAATTGCAACCAGTAGTCTCCTCTACCACCCCAACGAGGCTGTTGCGTTCAAGAAAGGCTGCCAGATAAGGGAACTGCTGCATAATTTTTTATTTTGTTTTATAATATCTAATTTTTCCTATTAAACACCTTTTCGCCGTAAATAAATAAACCGGCTGACGCTTTGCTTCTCCGAAGAATGCAGCTAGATTCCAAATTCCACTTAAACTCCTGGTCCAACACTGTGTACAGTCGGTGACCGATCTCATGAAATGTTAACCGAAATTCTGAAATGCGTTTTCGACTAGGGAAGATTGCTTAAGTAAGGTAGTAGTGTTGGTTATTTTGTGGCGTGGCCTCATGACATTTCAGGCACGCCAGGATGTTGGCTTCCGAACGCACTCCTTTCCTGCCGCCTCCAATAACCGTGCTCGGTAAAAATGGCTACTTAAGTAGTATGCGTTTTCTATCGATTTCCACTGCTTTTATAAGTTCAAAAATATTCCGCTGAACACATGCATAAAAATATTCCCTCGCACTCATTTGACAGCAAATCACGTCTTCTCCAAATGCCAAACTTGGAAAATGGGTTTCTTTCAGTTTTAAAATAGTTTTAATTATGAGATTTTTAAGATCCTGCAATGTCCATTCGAGTTGCATCACAACCTGTATGATAATTTTCCTTATTAAGCATACAACATAGTGCGCATCCGTTGCGACATTTTACGAGCCTCATGGATGTTTTCTTGATAGCATAAAGGAATGCATATTTTTCTTCCCACTGAAAGTATATAGCTTGTAGACTGGAACCTCTAAACAAAAGTGCATCGGCGGATCGGGCTTAAAATGATTCACGAATAGAAAACTTTTTTAAATCGGAAATACCCTTTTCTGCGTGAAAGTTCTGAATAAGACATGAGTTGTCACAAAATGACCGCAATAAACAATATCTCAAAAAAGTTTTCATCAAAATATATTTAAGCTTACAAAGGCATAGAAAATCGACAAAAAAGTATGCTATTTAAGTAGTCATTTTTACCGAGCGCAGTTTTTTAAGCGGTCTAAAAGATGTTAATTCAAAAGCCAACATCCTGGCGGGCCTGAAATATCGCGGGATTATGCCACAAGATAATCAAATTACAAACCCACTTAAGTATTCTTTCCTTATTGAAAACGCATTGCAGAATCTTGGTCATTTCATGAGATCAGTCACTGACTTTAAGTGTGGTGCATACGCGTCTTAGGAGGTTCGTCCTCATTTTGTACTAGAAACTGTGAAGTAGGCTAATTGTACCTCGAGACCAAAAACCGTCGATACTCATTCCGGTTTTTGACGAAATCTGTGTCCGAGTTTTGCCTGATGGTATTTTGCGTTTACTAACACCCACACTCCTCTTGCAGCGGTGACCCGTCTATCGAAAATAACCTGCGTGATCTTCAAATGACTGACTTCTCAGAATCATCCTCTGATGAACTCCTTCAACAGGCCCTCCCAGTGGATGATGCTGATGGGTGTGAACCGCCGAACTTGTCAACAGCACTCTTATCCGCCAGCGGTTACCTTCGGCATGTCAGGTAAAATTATTTCTAGTTGGTTATTTCAAGGTACGAATCCTCTCAATACCCGGAGGTTATCGTCTCGGATAAACACCGTAAAGAAGCTATTAGGGTGCGTTTTCGTTAGAAATTTATTCTAAGATTCAGTCACCCACAGCAACGGAGGACGCAAAACAAAAACCTCTGTCATCCATGTCAAGGGAATGGCAACAACTTCAGGCTAACTTATTTATGAGTGCCAAGCGAGTACGTTTTGAAGGTGACCGGTTAATTTTTAGGAGTTCGATATGATAAAAGCAAATGTGAAACTTTCCCCATCCCATATAGTAAGTCTGGTTGTTTTTATCACTTTGTGGATTGCCTTCACAGCATGTAAATTACATCTTAAACAGCGTTTTCAGCTCCATGCATCTCTAATCTGTTTGAATTTACAGCACGCCTTTTAAACACGTGTGATATGTTGCTTGGAATAGTTTTCAAACGTCTGTTTAACCGTTTGAAACGCCAAAGTGATCCCCTGTTGAGTATAACCCTTTAAGCTCAAAACAATGGAACGCATGTAAAGTGTAATGCATCTACGAGGCATCAGGATACACATGCGGCGCCAGTTTATGTCGTAATATTTAGCCAGTGTATGTGGTGCGAATGGTTTTTTACCTTATATTCTTCTTGTCTAGCAAGGCTTAGTGTGTTGTTTCCACGTCGCCATCCTGATATTTGCCTACTTCTCATCGATCGACCGGTCGGCCCCAACAGCACAATGCTATACTACTGGCTGCCTGTTGGCGGTTTGTGAATATTAAGCGGTTATTCCGCAGTAGCTGATGGATTTCAGCTCAAATATTCATATCAAATTTCGGACCGTGCCTGAGAAGGCCTGTTTCAAAAGAGTTACTCCAAGTTCGCGCATTAATTTCCTCGGAAATTAAGCAAGGCAAGGTTAATCTATACACTTTCATGCCCTTCAGACGTTGGGAAGGCGGGATCTACGCAAGCTCGTTTAATTTGTTGAACATATGCGTACCTGTCTGTCGAGGGCGCGGCTGGATCACTTTATCCCACATCGGCTCAACAGTCTTTGCAAGCCTTATCTACAGTTTCTGTCGAGACCGCGTTGTGTGCACTCAACATGTCTGCAAAACCACCTTGCTTATTAACTATGTCTGGATCCCTACTTGCCTGCTTGACTCTTGACATTTGCACTCCCGCGTGTGCTTCTTCGCCCTCTAGTACTGTTTACAGAGCTTTGTTTGCCCACTAGTGGGCTTTCATCAGCAAGGGCGAAAATTAGGGAAACCTTATACTGGACACCCAGGGAAGTGAGCATGGTATCTAAACGTTGTCAGCAACAGTCATGATAAGCGGAGAAAAAAGACTTCATTGACCGTTCTCCTCAGTGTCTATGGTCTTTTCCTTACTAGATTCCAGCCTGGGATATCACCCTTTATCTCAATGGCTCTCACAGGCAAAGGTGGTTTGCCTTTTTGGATTACTTTCCCATTCCTATATACATCAAGCGGAAAGTGATTACTGGCGATTTTTCGAATTGCACGAGCCTTGTCAACGAAGGCACCTGTCCTGTTCGTGTAGGGAACGAAGTACGAGGCTTGCCTATTGTACCGAAGAGCAACTCTATTTCCGCTACTGTACGAACCTGGTCTGTTTAGGGGAACCCACTTGACTGCTGCCCATGTCATGGGGCTTTCAAAAATGCTAACGACGTGGGTGTGCAGACAATTCCAGTCCTGCAACGTCTGATTTAAGCTTTGTGTCACTCACTAACTTTGCCAACCAACAAAGCACTTGCCTTTGGGTAGATTTCAAATTCGTGTCAAGGTTTGTGTGAAAATCGGATAATTGCTGTCTTTGTTACAAAAGCAATTTCCATTCTAAGGAGTTTGGCATACTTTTTATTCATTAAACGTGTAGGGATAAACTGTTTTCAGTCAGCAGCGTTTTGTTAAGACACTTCATATCATTGTCATTACTTCTAGAACCCTTCATCCTCGGAGATGGAACTCGCAGATTCAAGAGCCTGGTTTTCTCAAACTACGCCGAGGATATCGCACTTCAATTCTCTGTCACAAGTTTGTTTACGATAGCACTTATGGAAATCTGCCGTTTTAGAAAACTGTCGTTGAGATTCTCCAAACACTAATGCCCCTTTGCACACCCACGAATTGGAATAGTAGCCTTGTAAGTGTTTCGGAAGATTAGGAATTTCTTGCATTCTTCTCCTGTCCTTTCATTTTTCGAGTTAATTTACTTGGTTTGCGGACTGCCATTTTTAACAGCCCTTGTTTATTTTGTGTTTTCCGGGCCGTGCAATAGTTTGCCCGTTGTTTTACCAGGTAGGCTGTGGTAGTGACTTGCACATCAATTTATCTATGATCAAATGAACTTTCATTACGTCTGCCTTGCTCACATCTACGGTATTTTAATGGTTAGGTACTCTTAGGCCGGACGGTGGTGAGAATGGACACCGTGACTGTCAAAGCTAAACAGCCAGTCTGCGCATCACTCATCGGATGGTCTTTAATGCCGTACTAGTTGTGCTTAAGTGATGTATAGGTCTCAATCCCGCATGGGCAGGTTCTATGAGAGTCATATCAAGAAGAAGCCATTGCAGTCCGACCCGCGCTCCAGATGACCGAGTTTGCCGGTCGGTTGGTAACCTTCTGTCCACGACTTGTAGCGCGTTGTGGTAGCGTTCCTGGAAGTTAGATTTACAGTGATGAGAAATGCGCTGATTTGCCTCGAGGAAGGGTACCCCAGTGTAAGTTTCACCTAGTTCACGTTCCACCCACCAGTAGCTTGTTCGAGCATTTCCGTCAGCCGGTGATTATATAGAAAGCGGTGGATAACATGGCGTGAACCCCTCTCTAACTCGTGTTACATGCCCCGATTACCCCATACATTGGTCAAATAAACTCCCTCGGCCTTAGTAGCAAGGCGCAATATCAATGTCATTTTTTTCTTCCAAAAAGCAGCTTATTTCGTGCCTTACACTTTAACTTCCGACTATTTACTTATATTCATAGGAGTGCCATTTGTTGTTGGATTTTTGTGGCGCTATTTCTGTCCAGCGGGCTTTTGGTTGACTATCGCTGTCTACTATTTAAAAACAGCTAGTCCTCTGTATGGCTCAGTAAAGCCTTCGTTTCAAGGCATATCAAGCTCATGCCATTCTGACCTTTAGATGCGAATTAGATGGCCACCCTTCGTCATACCGAATTTACAACCTGAAATAATCTCACCCTGTTTTTTGGTATTCAATTAGATCGCGTTCTTTTGTGTTGGCAAATATTTCTCACTATGACTTAAACGCGATGTCACTGATGTTCGCTTCTATCAGATGTCACTTCTGTTGTCCTTATCTCACCTATTTGTCTCACTCACGTCTTAAAATCTATGCCAGGAAATGATTCACCACCTTTTTATGTTAAGGAACCGTGGATTTATTCAGTCCTCTTAGCACTTGAACAACCACTTCATCCAGACACCTACCATTCTCTTCGTCGATTGGCTAAATCATTTCGAAAAATAGCTTCCGTGAGTTTTTTCATATTTCTACCTGTCTAGCCGAAGCCCTCTTGTCCGCCATGAGCCTTTAAGCGTTGATATAAACATCTGTCTTTCAGATTCAGTTCCAGTTTACTTGAGGGAAACATAGGTGTCGAACCTTTGAACTCCCCATTTGTTACAAGCAAGCGAATTATATCAAAAATTTGAAAATGCAAACATTAAACAGCTACAGAATTTTTTTCAGATTGACAAAGTCTTCGGAACCAGACAAATAAACGAGTTGTTCCAAGTGTTAAAAACATTAACGTTACTAAATGTGCTGTACAGTTGTCTGTCTATGGATAATTGGTGCTGTCTCAGTTTCTGAGGGAGACGAATTGAATGCCAACTCAAAGAAATCAGCAGGTAAGAGACAGCAGTCCCGGTCGCGCATTATACGGGATGTTTGTATATGGTCGCCTCTTAGCTGTCTGTAACTCAGTGGAAAAAGGCCGAGATTGGCTAGTTGTGTTTCATAGGGTAGTGAACCCTGTCTACCTACGAGTTGGGCTTCCCGCCTTTGAACTTTCTCAAGGATGCCGAGATCTTTAGAGGCCTAGGGTTCCCACACCTGAATAGCGAACTCTAACTGTGGCCGTACAAATGTGTGAAAGTCTTTAACGAGGCAGTCCTCACCAAGTTTACTGAATCATTTTCCCGTGGGACCGGCAGTGTAAGGGACGCGTAGACACCTGCGAATCGAAATTGCAGTGAGGAAATGGGATCATTGTGGTATGAAAAGTGGCAGTATAAGACGCGCTTCGAATCCCCTTCTGGAGAGGGGTGATGTTTTTTAATTGATCACTACTATGCGATTGTCTGTAAGGTCTTCGGGTCGGAGCTCCAGGACGATACGGCACACCTGCGTCCCACGACCTAGCCGAAAAGACTCGAGCCCCGGGTTGAAGTATGTTTCCCTAGCCACGACTGATAATCTGAGTATGACTGTCCTAGTCCCCATTGTTTGCGTCAACCATGTCTATATGAGATTTGAACTTAGGTCAACACATCTAGCACTAGTGATCCCGGCTTGTGAGCAGTGTCAATATTTGCTTCCATCGGTAGTGGTGCCATCACTTCTGAGGTCCCTTTTTGTGTGGTAGTGTGAAGTACACACAATTTGCAGTCTTTCTGTTTCCCATATACTCTAAAATACTTAGGCCTAGTATTTTGCGCCCCCAGTCATTTAAGTAAAAACAGGCCACAATCGATGTCCATGCTACGATTCATTTAGCGTTGAACTTCCGACTACATTCCGATACCCCTTGTATCGGCGTGTCTTAGCCATGGTTTTTGCAAAATGAAAATTCCAAATTACCTGTTATCACTGCTTTCGCCTCTCATTTTTAGAAATCGGACCAGACGGCCTCCAAGAACACTGGCAGGCGCTTGATGTTTTGCGAAATAGTCATTGCCATTGTTGCTTTCGTCTTTGGCCAGCTTGATCTTGTCACCTCTTAACGTGACCCGCACCACCTGCGCAATTTGTGGGTGGTCCTACGATTGTATACATCTCTGATCCTCTTATTTTTGTGGCTTGTTTCATAAAGGAGTTACATGCTTTCTTCTTTGTGGTTGTCCTATCTGTTTGTATTATGAGCCCTGACATGCTTCCGATAAAGGTGGCGTAGATAACACTCCGAGAGCAGTGCGCCTTTTTCTACCGGTTGGCTTTGATACGAATCGAGAAGACATGATATTTCTAAAGTGAGTTCGAGTTTGTTTGCCGCTTTCATTAGCTAAGACACGCAGAATGCGTCTTCTCCAAGCACAACGATCATTCCACATCGTTATGCCTTAAAGCACGTGAAGTCCTGTGGACTGGTCGTGTTCAAGACAGTTTATTTGACCCAGGTTGTGCTGCAATTTATTTGCCCCTGTCCGGACAGACCGATACGTTATTAGGAAGTACCATTGCAGTTGAGATAAGTAGACACTGCGTATGCAATGCTGGCGGCTATCTTATGCGTCAGGGCTGTGTCTCCATCACGACAGGTAGTCACCTGTTCGACAAAGAACGAGGATTAGAATGTGGTCTTGGAGTGAGGACAGATGGGAGCCATGACCACGCCCGTTCTCCCTACCCACGCCTTACCTATCGCTTGGACCTATTCCTTCATGTGCACACACACGACAGTTCGAGCGTCATTGCTGACGATGTCCACCGTTTGCTGCACTAAAAGGTGAAGCAGACACGGTGACTTGCGCGTGAATTAATTAATATCGCTAGTAGACTTCGCAGCATCTGCCCCACTCTCTTCCTCACCTGGACCTTGTGTCAAGGCAGAGTCAAAAAGACCGGAGGTGGGGAGACGCAGATGGATGGCACGGTCGAGCCCGCACCTTGACGTTCCACTGCGCAACCCCTGTTCCACAGCAAATGACCAGGCTTTTGACCAACAGCAAAAAATGAAGTCTGGCGCGGCCGAAGCCGCACCTAGGCGTGCCGCCACACCCGGCTCGGATCCCATGCAGTGGGAGCGCCATAAAGGCCACATTAAGAAGGAGCCATTGCAGCCTGACTCTTAGACCACCATCCGGCCACTCCACACAACACTGGGCCAACCGCGAGGTCCAAGTTATCCCGTCAGTTGGCAACCTTCCAAGCCTCGGCTTTTAGTGCACCGTAATAGCTTCGAGCGCGTCAGATTGTTTATAGTGCGGAAAATTTGCCGAGTCGTCCACCTCACTCTCCCTTCCCATGCCTCAGCCACTGTCCGAGCCGGTCAGTTGACTGCCGTGGGAAATGAGTGCGGTGGCCGACACAGTCCAGTGACCTTGTCTGTGCGCGCCACATGCACTACCTGGCCCCCCAAACACAAGCATCAGGATTACACACAACGGGGGTTGAGCGGCGTACCTCACATGCTTGAGAGTGCCGTGTAAGGAGCTGCATCAGCCTCGCTCTCAGCCCACCAGTTCGCCACCCCATGCAAACACACATAACTGAACGGACTGCGTGGACTGAGTTGGGGCGTCAGTCAGCAGTCTTCCAATCCGCGGCGCTTGCCGCACCGGGATAGTCTCAGGCTCGAGTCACTCATGCAACAGGAGCTGCACAGAGACCGAGTCAAGATTCACACTTCCCACTTGCGTGGGAGGTAGCAGTTGGGTGCTGTTGATGCCTGATGGGATGCTGGGGAGGGAGAATGTCATGGTTTGGTGTAGCCGGCGGTTGTCAACCGCAGGTCTTTGTGAATGCGCAGGTGGCCGAATAGGCCCATGTGACGCATGAATTTACAAGGGCAGTGGAAGCGAATGCGGCAGGTATAGGTATAGCACACACACTACTGGGCAGACTGAGTTGGTATGTCAGTCGGCTGCCTCCCTAGCTACGGCCCTCGACGCACCGTTTACCCCTCAGACTCCGGTCACATGCAGCAGGGGAGCCGAGACGCACACTCCCCACTTGCGTGGGAGGTGACGGTTAGGTGTTTGAGGTGGTTGATGTTGATGTGCGGTTAGATGCTGGTGAGAGAGGATGTGGTGGTGTGATGCAGTCGGCGGTTGTCTACCGCGGGTTTTTGTGGACGCGCATGTGGCCTAATAGACCCATGCGGTGAATAAATATGCGAGTGCAACGTGGACAGTGGAGGCGGACGCGGCGGGTGTAGGTCGGTGCTTCAGGCACTGGTTCTCCAGTCTCTATGCGATGGATTAGCAAGTGACCGACCAGGCCAGTGCGTGAGGTGAAGGCGCGATCGCAATGAGGAAAGGTATAGACCAGGTTCTCATCGCTGGTGTTGGGGATAGTTTTGGTCTGTCAGGATTGTGTGTAATGGTGATGGGCATGGCAGAGGCCACAGCGGCAGACGTTGAGGCGGTGGAGGAGGAGGATGGTAGTAGTGGTTCGACGTTAGTTGACGGCGTGGGAGAGGCAACGGCTGATGCGGTCTGGGTGCTGCAGTTGGTCCGGAGATGTTCAAAAACTCTAATCGGCGCCCGGGATGTCCGTAGGCATCGTGGACATGTTGGAGGCGGTTGGGCACTGGCGTCACGAAGTGGGCACAGTTGAGATTTGCGGACCTCGCCTTTGGCTTTCGTGGCGGCTATGCGGTTGGCTTCGTAGACCGCTATTCCTGTCTTCACTGTCCTCCTCCAGGTCGGTCGGTGGTGGTGGTGGTATTGGTGGTGGGACGGTTGAGGACGCCTTTTAAATGATCGGCCCATCGCTGTAGAATTCGTCTCCTCAGTGGGCTGGGTACTCCCGTCGGCGCTGAGAATAGGTGCAGTACACTAACTCGGTGGACAGTAAACAGCTTTGATCGCGGAAAAGAAGTTCTTCCATTCGTTGCGGTCCGCGAACTCTTGCATCTCGGCCTCACGAACCGTCCAGATGTCCTGCATCTCGCGGCGCCACTGTTGCACTAGGTAGCGTTAACTGTAGAAAACTGTTGTTGGCGTCGGTGGGGCGTTCGACGTAGGCTTTGTGCAGGTGGTTCTCTGGGAGCAGGCTATTTATGGCGGTATCGTTGTCGTCGAACCAGTCCTGGTGTTGGCTGCGTGCGTTCCCGAGGACAGCCAAGGTTGTTGACTGGACTGTGCCCCGTAGTTGATGCCGTCGGTTTCCCACGGAAGCGTTCTCGTCGGCGGCGGCGACTGGAAGGTTGGCTAGCCGTTGAACTTGTTCATTGCTTAAATGGGGAGGGTGAGCAGGCAAGGACAACACAGCAATACCCGGCTCACCTGGGAGTCGCTTACCTTGTGGTCTCCTGTGAGGCTGTATGCGAATCCGCATCTTGGAGATGACGAGACTATGGTCAGCCCACCCGTCGGCACTCGGGATCGCCTTTGTCACCAGCACGTCCCTGTACATCCAGGTGGCCTTCTCCCGCATAGGGAGGCAGAATAGTGTGTTCGCCAGGACGAGTCAGTGTTCTGCGCAGGTTCATAGGGGGAGCAGGCCATTTTCATTGGAGCCGTCGAGACCATGGGAACCCAGCACTCTTCTCCAGGCAGCATGGCCTGTGCCGGTGCGGGCGTTGCAGTCACCAAGGTCAATCAACTTATCCGCCTTCGACACAGTCGTTAGGATGGCGTGCAGAGCCTCGTAGAATTTTTCCCTTAAGGCGTTCGGTTGGTCATTGGGGAAGCGTTGACGCTGATGATTGTGGCGAATTTGCCTCCCCGAAGATGCACCCGGAGTCTCATCAGGCGATCGTTGATGCCCTGCGACAGACAGGACAGTCATCCCACAATGTCGTTCCTGATGACAAATACGACACCCGCGTCCCGTCTCTCTGCTATGTAGCCGGCACCTACCTCCTCCAGTTGGACTATGTAGTTCGGCGAACCGGGTCTCGCTGAGTGCAGCGATGTCCACCTTGTAGTGCGCAAGTTCCCGAGCCACTAATGTCCTCCTCCTTTCCGGTCGATTGCTAATCGAATGGTCTAAAAGCGACCGAACATTCCGGGCTGCTAGAGTGAGTGAACCCACCCCACCAGTCCGGCAAGTGGGGCGGCGGGGAGCAGGAAGAGGAGGAAGAAAGTGTGTTGTTTCTTGTTTGATTGTTTCGACTATATGTTTTTCGTCTGAGGCTACGGTCAGCCTTTAGACGGCGTGGTTCTCCAGAATTTGTTAAAAGCACCTTTTCTAGCCCCTTTTCCCTCGCGCAGGTGAGTAGTGCTATCCCTAAATGGGGCTGCTCAGGTGTGTTAGGCGGCTACCGAATTCAACTATGTGCTACGTCTTTGTTTAGTAGGAGAATGACCCGGGTTATCCTGGACAGCGTACGACATCGCCCTAAGCTGAAGGAGACGAGGGTAGAGAGACGGGATGCAGAGCTTTCCTGTCATTCTCTAGGGTACGTGGTTGCTGAACTATAAACGGTGAGCAGACACAATCAACAAAATGGAATTTAGCTTCCAGTATGGACAGACACACAAAAGCAAGCAGGCAGAACAACAGGAAGCAAAAGCAACAGGGGAGATTCAACAGAACGGTAGTCAGCTTTAACAAGGACAGATCCGAAAGCAGACAGAGAGCAGGCAAACAAAAACAGACGAAACAAAGACAACAGAGCATTTTTTGCTAACCTGGAGGCTTACTTACCTTGTGGCCTCCTACGGTGTACCAGATGTAGCCTCGTCTTGACGACGCCCAGGCGAGAGAGAGAGAGGACTGCATTATTTTGAAAATAACTTTCAAAACTTTCAGCAAAAACGGTTCTCAAGTACACAGTGATTACCATCCATCCGACCATCGAAGTCGAGATTACCGTGCGCGGAGATGCACACATGGAAACCCTCACCCGGTTTAGCTTGCCGGCCAAGGCGGTTACGGGATGTAGCTGCTGGGCAGAGCGTAGCTTCGGGGAGCCCCGTGAGAGTTAGGTGCGAGCAAATGGACGCAAGGCGTAGTCTACGCCTGCAAACAAATGAGCAACCTACCACGTCCGTCACGTGAACCCACCACTGGACACCCCTACACCCCATGCGCACCTGAACGACAGTCATCACTACAATATCACTCATGGCTTTGCAGTAATGTCCTCTAAGGCCATGTGCGCACACGTTAGAATTATTCATCGATTTCACTGCTGGGTCCACTATCATCGTTAGTGAGAAGCGAACTGTTGTGTGCAACACACTACACAGGGGCTCTCGCTGCCTCGGCCGCTGTGCCAAATGTGATCAATAGCCGGCCGAAGGGCTGCTGATGAGTGGGAGAGGATAGGGCGTTTCAGAGCGATACCGAGGTATCATTCCTCCTGACAAGTCAGCACATTCTTCACCATAATACGTCGGACTCCTGGAGAGCACATCCAGCTAAAAGTTGTAGGTGAGAAGTTGTCAGCTGAGGGACGAAAATAGTTTATTTGAGATAGAATCAGGCTCCTTTTGTTCCTTAATTTGGTCCGTGCGGTATCTCAATTCTGTGGCGTCCGAGGCTATTGGTGCACGTACTATAAACAAACAAACTTGCTTTGGAACTGCCGCGTCCTAGCACCAGAAACATGGAAGAGTGCTCTTCTTAAAAAGGATGTTCGGGTAACAATGACTCCATAATAGTGGTCGCATTGAGCTCGCTCATGCCTGTTCCGTGTGGACTTACGGAGCGACTGATGCGTGACATGCGACGGGCTGTCTAGCTATGTCAGCCACTGCGTCCGCATGCACTTTTAGTCGTTTTGTTTGCGTTCTCGTACTGGACCAAAGCAAATGTGGATGAGATATGCATGGAAATCCCAGGATTGTGCTAAGCCTATTCGCTTACAACTGTTAAATAATAATCTGCTGGTATAGGTACAGATCGTCTTACTCCATCATCGGTCGTGCGGAGACTTTGCAGCATTCAGTGCTTTTCCGTCATGCTCTCAATTGGTACTCGACTTATTTTTGACTCTGAAAATACTGCTCCGCATTGTGGACACGGACTGTCAGTTACATTGACGGAGGTAGTTGCTGTCAAACGCGGTGAAAATTTCGATTGTAGGTTAACAATTTTAGAACGTATCCCGTGCCAATAAAAGCAAAAATGGGAGTTCCAGGAAGAATTCGTGAAGAAGGAGACATGATCGCTAGAACAGGAGCTTAATTAGCCCAGCGTTTCGGATTCTCATTCAAATCCGTCATCAGAGACAGAGTCAGATAAGGGAAGTAAATTCTCCGGGCGTTGCGGTATTTATAGGGTGTAGTTACTAGGCTGCTACATGCCTGTCGCAGTTGGCAACTCCCGAGAGCATCACGGCTAGACTGGCCAGATGTTTAAATATGCAGTTGCCATTTGTTTGTGTGCCGGCCACGATTACCAGCTCCCACGCTCATCGCACGCAGTCGAGTTGCCGACTGCTGGATTTCATCATCCGTGCGAACTTTTGGACAATTCGACCCGCCGACATTGACACAAGGTCTCCTTGGGGCTAGCTATTTTGCCAAGGTAGTCTCAGCGCCAAATATGGAGAACGAAGGTCGTTACACTTGCTGAGGACGGAAAGATCATAACTCGAGCAGTTCACGGCTCATTAAGTTATCGTATTTAGCAAGAATTTCTGCTTCATCAAACTTGAATGTATGGTTGTGTCCTGTTGAGTGAGCTGCGACTTGGGAGCTGCGTTGTTCCTTCCTACTGCTTTTGTGTGCTCGTTTATCCGCGTCCGGAGTAGTTTTCCGGTTTCATCGGTATAGTTTCTCTGCTCATAACTGCCCCAGACTCGGTACACGAGCTCAGATGTCTATTGCCGTGGTAATGGATTCCTCGGTCTCATGATTTGGCACAATATGGTTTTCTTCGTCTTTGTGTAACTCTCATTTCAATGGGTATGAACCGGTGATTGGCGGTTTCCAAGACATCCTTAATTAAGGGAGAACTCGCCGAGATTTGGGACCTGTTGGATTTCGTCTGCTACCTCGATTGCGCAGGCCCTGGTTGACGAAGTTGCGACGGTATCCGTTCGTTCAAAACAACCGCCGAATGTATTTTAGTTTATCAGCATTGTCTTCCGTAGCACTGCAGTGTATCCAAACGCTGGCTTAGTGCACTTACGCAACTGGGTGGTTGGGTGGTTGCTGTTGTAGCTCAGTACTTGCGTCATGGTTGCCGCTTTTCTGAATACCTTGTTCTTGGGGCCAGCGCAATTTTCGCGGCAGACAAGGACATCTGAAAAGGCTAACTAGTTTGTTTCCTCCTACTTCACTGTAAATTGGATGTCCTAGAAGATTTTGGTGAGGCGTTCTTTGAAATTTCGACACCCGATCCCGTTCGATAACCACGAGTGCATCATCCACAAACTGAGCACAAAATTTCGGTCTGTGGTGTCGGAGAACCAGCGACTACAACCATTGTAGAACCGCTCGGCTATGAGTCACAAAATCGGCAAACGCATCAGCGTGCCTATCATCTGCTCGTAGATTGTTCCGTCGGATGTCAAGTACGTCTTGAGAATGAACTACAGGAGTCAGAGTATTAGGGCGTGTCCAAGACGATTCTCAGTTTCATCGCATTTTCCTCGTAGGTGTAGTTCGACAGTCTCGCCAGACAAGTCCTGAGGAATAGAAGTCAAACGGGATGTGACACCAAAGGATACCATGGCATCGCTTGGAAACGGATTTATCCTTTTAAGTTCCCCGAGAATAATGTTAGCGAATTGACTGCAGAGTGTGAATTTGCGGCGAGAAATTTAAAACGCCGAAGCACGCATCTTACCAGTCTGTAGGTTGGGGTACCTTTGAGTGTGACGGTGAGCCGGAGGGGGCACCCTTTTTGTGCATATTGGCAAGGCCACAGAAGCGGGCAAGCGTCGTTTCCTGCTCTCTCACCATGTTGCAGTCAATCCATTTAACTGCACCGGGGTTCTCCAATGTCAACAACGTCGCAATGATTTCTTGTGTCCGCGTTTTTACGGGGCGGTTGCGCAATAGGCATAGGACTGTCGGCCCTCCAACAGGCGTTTGTTCTTCTGACGGTAATATTTTCCACCCAAAAAAGCAGTGGAGCACGATAGCAAGGTTTTAATTGGGACTTCAGTCAACTGAGTGCGTCGCGTTCGACCTTAGACAGCACTTTGCGCGGCCTGTGAGCCACAACGGTATAAAACATCTGAGGTTGGATAAAGTTCTAATAATAATAAATCTTTATTCAAGACCCGCGGGGGTCCTATCATAGCAATTAAGAATAACTTTTACATTAATTTTAGACGGGGTATACAGAGTTTATACGATATTTAGTCATAGTTATTGAACAAGTAGTATGTCACGATGAATGTTGAGCGAGCAGTGAAAAGAACTCCTAATATAAACAAAATGAGTAGGATTGAATTAGAACTATAGGAGAAGAAAACTCTCGCTCATTAATGTAAAAAACAGGCAGGACCGGCCTTTATACGGCATTGTATAACGGATTTCATGAAGGGGTAATTAGGCGAGTCAGGCAGGACTGGCCTCTATGTGGTATTGAGTAAAAGGTTCGAAACGGGCATCATTAAGGCAGAATTCATATGACGGATGAGGTCATTCATGTCAAAGTGGCGAATTGAAAACCACTGTCGAGGCAATACGAACCCAGATGCGGTCAGCCGGATCCAGCCGAAGAGAGAGCAAGGGAGATGCGACCAGACTACTAGCATATGGCGAACATAGAAGGCTCCGCCAAGAGCGCCGATAGAGAGCATTTATTGAGGGCACAATGCATGAACTGAAATATCGAAAAATCAACAATCCTGATGAGGGATCTTAGGAAGCGATACGACTCACAAAAGAAGGAAATGTGAGCAGATACGGAAATTTAAAAGCGGCGTCCTATATTCCTGGTGGTCCTTTCTCAGTGTCATAGAGAAAGTTGTCCGGGACGGATGAGGAAAATAAAAGTTTAATCGAGTCACTGTTCAGATAAAGGCGCTGCCTTCTCTTACAAGTGTGTAGATCATCTGAGAATCTTATATTTGTTGGAAGTTTGTAGTGGACAGCCATAATGGCCACGTCACGCCTCTCTCAAGCGCCTGCACCTTTGTCCTAGCGACAGCCTGCTATGGCACGCACGTCTGCCCGGCTTCGATTTGTCTCGTTGCAATTCACTGTCTGTAACACGCATTCGGTCGATTCTCTGTCTGCATCATGTGAGGCTTGTCACTACCTTCACGTGAGCTCGGAGCCAATCAACGCAACTCCTATAGCTGATTGGTAAGACAGGCGGGAACAGTCCAGAACAATAGACTAAACAATTAGCAACGAAACTTTTGCAGCGGCGACCTTCGGCGACCAGGGCTCATCGCTCTCGCGGACGTCGCCTCCGCGGCGCCGGACGCATCCTCGTCCGGTTGCCAACTTCCCTCTTCACTATTCTGTACAGAATAAAGTGTCCTAATGAAATGGCTTCCTAATTATAACAACTTGGGATATAGCCTGAAGTTGTGGCTTACTGAGCGTACACCATCACCGCTTAGACGCTACAAGGTTATTCCAGAGGGAAGTATATCTGGAAGCAAAAAAGAGAACCTTTAGAGGTGGAGAAAGATGGAGGAGGTATAATCAAAGGAGATTTGCGAAGATCGTATGGGTGACTGCTAGGGGTAAGTGCTGAAATCCGGGGAGATTTGAACTGTTTTTAATGCGAACGAGGAGACAGAAGTCGGCTTCTAGTCTTCAAACCCATAAAAAGTTTAACTGGCATCCATCTGAGTAGGAGATATTTGGATGTTCCTGGTCTAAAAGTTTTCTAGTGAAACTTCTCTGGACATTTTCGATTTTTAAACGACCAGCTTCGTTCATCGAATCAAAGAATGGGCAACATTACTCGACAATGGGAAGTACAAACGTACGATAGAGTCTTAATTTAATTTCAGCATGGTAGAAATTGTAAAAAATAAAGCCACCAATCCGGGCAGCTTTGGCTGTAATTCTGTCAAAATGTAGCCAGAGGGTTGTCAGGCCGTGGAACTCGCTTCCAAGCGAGATGGTGACGGCTGACACAGTTTGTGTGCTTAAAAGAAAACTTGCTCGTCTAGTTTTCGACAGAAATCGGCTTGTACAGCATGACTATGCACAGCCAGTTTTGTAAAATCTGTCATATACAATCTTCCGCACTAATTTACAGTGACCCCATGCACTACCTTATGATTACGATTGAACTGTGACCCAATCACATTTTAAATGCCTGCAATTTTATTTTATTTTTGAGTATGAATCTGCGAAAGCACTGTACATAAATAGGGTCATCAAGGGCTCTGCCTATAACCCTTCAATATACATACATACATACATACATACAGATCAAGATTATTTGTGTAACTTAAGCCTAAATCCCTGATGGTGGTACATTCAGTCATATTTTTGCCTTGAAAGACCGCTGGTTGGGGTAACCTCTCAGGTCCAAAACACATGCACGAACATTTAGACGGAGAGAAATCCATTAGCCATTTTAAGCTCCAAGCTGAGGGAGCAAGTAAGTCGGCATGGATTTGCCCCAGGCAGGGAATGCCCGTAGATTGATTGAAATAATAAACATATTTGAGATCATTGGCATAAATAAGGGATTGAGAATGTTTAACTGCCGCCGAGATATTTTTGTCTCGGTCGTCGCGTCCGTCTGAGAATCGATTCCACCGCTGCAATCACGTTGACGGTTTTGGCATCAGCTGTTCTTAATGAATCTTCATGCCGTAACACCTGTATTTGATGCTTCGTCAGTTCCTTTAACAACAGTTTGTGCACCAGTTTGTCGTTCTTTGGAGGCGTTGGCTTAGATAGCTCTCTAAATTTGTTCTCTGGTGCTGTATCCAGGATCGCTCTCCGTTCACGGACACTTTCCTACACCCTCTGCGCGAGCAGATTTGCACCTAAATCGCCCAAAAACTCAGGCGATTTTGTCTTCTATAGGTTAGTACTCTGCTGAACCTACATGCTAAACCTAATGTAGCAGTCTTAAAGGAACATTGTGATTATTTTTCAGCCGTGTTAAAATGCAGTCGTCGCGCAAACGTCGTGTAAACAAGAGGCCAGCACAAGACACGTAAGGAACAGGTTGCTGTCGAGGCACATCTGCAGAAACCGAATCCAAACATGCGTTGAGGAGTCTGTAAGGACCAAAGTTTCCCATAATGTGCCAAATCATGAGACCGAGGAATCCATTACCACG